TTTCCCCCCAAAAAAACACATTTAAAAGCGAGTAAAATACAACTTTATACATTAACTTCATTAATCCAGTCATTTTTAAAGATCATTAATCATATTTAAGACATTTTAAGTTGTAGCAGCAGCAATTATTACTTCAGTTCTCATTTCCTTGATCAATTATAAAACTGGAGTTATGACTATTAATCAACCATTCAGCACCTGCAGTTTCCAGGGTCATTTAAAATAGTGCCAGACGTGGTTCAGATTATTCTTCATAATTAATATCACCGTATGTTCAACAGACAGACAACAACCACTGTGGTCTTTGCAGGTTAATGTTAGAAATGCCAATATGATGCCTGATATTCTGTAATAAATGACACTTTTTCCAACACCTTACTTACAGAAATCTGCTTTTTATACAAAACCCTGCTTTTTATTTCACACAAGCAAACATAGACCAACTCTGCCTCAATAAAACGGATATATTTGCATTTTTTTAATAATTGTTCATTTTTGCTTGAAAACAAAGTAAACAAACATGAAAATCTGGTCAGATTTAATACCAACTTAAAGTATTTGAACAGTTTTCGACAGCAAATGTTTGAGATTCAACCCCCAAACCTCACTGACCATTACAAATAAATAAGTAAACATGTTTACTTTACCACGAAATTTCACAAAAAGCAACGAGGAGTCGGTTTCAGGAACGTTTTTGGTATGTTTTTTAATAAATTAACGTTCATTCAAAATACAGTGCCAAAGGAATATGATGCAGCCAAACATGCTAGTAAGGTTTGTCATGAAGCACCTGTGCTCATGTTTTTTTTTTTTTTAAGGTAGGAGGAAGACCCCGTCCCTCCCCAACCCGCCCCTCTCCATCACTGCTGGCGGTTGCCGAGACGATTTCCATAGCAACAGCCGTGGGCCAGCCCTCTCCTCTCACAACCAATCAGCAGCAAAGATTCCTCAATATTCACTCGAGAAAAAAAAAAAAAAATTAAATCTGATAGGAAAATGGATTTTTACCCACAATCACACTACAGTAATGTCTGATATTAAATTAAAAAAAAAGACACTAATACAAAATAGACCTGGTTATTTTTTTCCCCACACTAAAACAGTTATGAAAAATATATATTTTATTATATATATTTATATATTTCAGCAGCTTGGAAATAAAAAAAAAAAAATGCATGAGCCCGAAACCTATGTTTGTACTGAGAGTGGAGTTGTTGGTGTGTGTGTGTGTG